CTCCTTTTTGTTTCAGCCAAGTACTCTCACATATATTAGTTTATAATAATGTCTGTGATTATTATTTTTTGTTTGTGATTATTGTTTAAAGTTCTTTCTATTCAAGAAAAAGAAGGCAATTCCTATGTCAGAGTAACCAAGGTGGTTGAAGAATAGGTATTAGCCAGAGAAGTCTGGATGGTCAAATCAGTCTTGTAGCCTCAAAGAAGCTCTATGAACACAAAGGGATGCCAGCTGTCACACGGCTTTCCTGCACTCTAGTTCATTCTTGACGACAACCTGTATGCCTGTTCTAGGGACATTTAAACTTAAAAAAAAAATTTTTTTTTAATTTTCTGTTTTTTTCTGGACACTTAAACTCTTAAAAAATTTCTCTTTTTTTTTTTGGAGATGTTTTATAAAAACGGACATTTTATCAGCAACTTGCCATGTCAACTGTAATAAATAGCAATTTGTAAAATTGTGAAATGATACAAAAGGATAATCTCATCCATGGTCTCTTTCTGTGTGCAAGGCACTATAAAAAGTGTCCTGAAACATTAACTGTTCAGTCATCAATATTTAGTGCCTATCCACTCTATGATACAAAGTTCCATTCATATATATATATATATATATATATAACACTTTATCTTAAAGGATTTCTTATGATCTTTGCTAATACATTAAGAAGAATGCTAACGAGTGCCCTTTTGTGTACTGAGACTTGGAGTCATGTGCTTAAAACAGGCAACATGAACTCTGACTTTACAACGTATTGTAGATATAAATGCTATAAGCTAGGAAAGGTTTTCCATATCCACTGTCAAAGATGGGAGCCTTTTATTCCTCAGAAATCATCCCTTTTTAGGTCATCAAAAAAGTACAACTGCCGCAGTTCATGATGCAGCATCTTCATGAGCCCAGGGCACAGAAAAACCCTAAAAGAACTGCCACAGCACAGCGCTCGTTCTTGGCATGGGAATAATGAAATACTCTATTCTGCACATACCTGCCAGAGCAGGCCACTTTCTTCTTCTGTGAGATGTTAAAAGCTCCCAAAAATGTTATTACTCCCATTTGCAATGCACAGAAAATGGAAGAAAGGCTGTTTCCAGTTCTCGGCTTTTCAACAACTCTAGATGTCTGTACACATATTGGCACCTTACAAATAATAAACAGTGTGCACGTGAGGGCAAAGCACATATTGAGCTAATTAAGAGCTCACTGTGATCAGGATTCCATCAACTACCATAGCAGAACATAAGCAAATTGTATCTGAATTCCATAATGAATACACATGCTGCAATAACGTTAAAAACCATGGCAGCCTATTTGAAACTAGCGAGAATGGTTTTGTGCCGATAGTGGGTCTTTGTGTGTTTGAACTCCCACCACATAAGGGCAAACTCGATAGGCATGCTAATGACCTACGATTATCAAATTAAAAATGAAAAACGCTAAAGGATGCCAGAGTGAACATCAGTGAAAGCCACACGAAGACCCACTCCCTTTAACTTATTACAAATAAACTATAAATTAGAAACACAAATCATCATGAGTGGCTCTAACATTCAAATAAAATAACCATGTAGAAGACTAATCCTATAACTTAGTTCCTTTGTAAATTTCTTGGCCAGCTCTTAGCTGATGGTGATGTTTACCTCCTCCTTCGCAGCAGCGGGGTAAAAGCATGGCATAGAGGGACTGCTGCCCAAGGGTCGGTGTTGCTGGCCATCCCGCAGCTCACACAGCCGTGAGCAATCTGCTGTGCAGTGGGGTGTGGTGTACCCTCCCTCCTGCAGGCTCCAGGCTGTCGCTGTCATCGTCCGGGCTCATCTCATAAAATTCTTTGGAGAGAGGGAGGCGGGGATCTGAGCGCAGTGCCAGCCTCCCCTGCTCCTGCCTGCCCACCCCACCTGAGGTCTCTACTCACCATCCTTGTCAGCAGCACCAAGCTCCTGGGGGGCTGGGGCCCCTGGAGTGGAATCATTAGCAGGGTGCTGGACCTCGTGGCCGATCATAAGCTGCATCACTGGGCCCTGCAGCTCCAGCAGCTTCACCTGGAGATAGGGGTGCTCTGATGCCACGCCGGTGCCGGCACCCACACTCACACCCACCCCCATCCCCCTCACCCCCGCAGAGATGTTGTACACCTTACCTTCATCCCCTCCTCGGCCTCGGACAGCATGCTAACATCGTTCTTCTTCTGGTGCTGGGTCTTGGCCACTGCTGTCTGATGGTCATTTGGTTTGATGGACTTTCCTGCGGGAGGACAGGCTCAGGCACTGGGGCCCCTCCCACCACCCTGCAGCTCCCCTGCCCTGCCCTGGCCTCCTGCTCACTTATCATGTCTCTCTCTCCAGAGAGCTGGATGAGTCTGAGTTCTAGTTTTTCCACCCGCTCCTTCAGGTCCGCATTTTCCTTCACGACTGCCATGAACTCATTCTGGAGCCGAAATAATGGGGTCACATCTCCACAGTGACCAGTCCCACCCCCACCCTTCTTTGCCCCTGCCAGGACTCACTCACCTGCAGCTTGTCGATGGCGCCCTGCAGGGCCCGCTGGGTCTCCCTACACCCACGATTGCTCCTAGTCCCTGTGGCTGCGGCCGCTGCCTCTGGCTCCCTCAGGGCCGAGGCCACCAGGTGAGCCTGGTGCTGGCAGCACCCCTGTTGTTTCTGGAGCTGCTCACAGAGCCATGCCTGCTCCTCCTGGGCACCGGCTCCAGCAGCGTTCAGAAATGGCACCTGAAGGCAAGAGGGGAGTGTTCTTGTAGGGGTATACACAGGACAGATGGGGCAGGGAGGTGGAGCGCAGCCCCTTCCTTTGGGGCCTCAGATAGTACACCTGTCAGTCATGATGGTATCTGAACACTGGCTCCCGGAAGGGGTGAGGGTCCAGAGTAATCAGAAGGCAGAGAAACCAAGAGCGTAAGGGGGTCTGGGAGGGACCACAGGGGAAGGTGGCCTGCCCAGGCACCTTGCCCCTGGCTCCAGCCTGAGAGACTGCCTCCCTTGCCTAGAACCCCATGCCTCCTTCCCCAGCCTCAAATCTCATGTCCTTCCTTCCACCATTTAAACTGTAGACCACAGACTGGTGAAAAAGCACAGGGAGCCAACCACCATCTGCCAAGTGTGCTACATGCCTAATGCTTTCCACGCACCATCTCATTTAATCCTCAGCACCCACGCAAGGAAAACGCTAACTTCCTTTGGAAGTTAAAGAAACAGAGACTGAGGGATGCAAAGTAGTCGAATGGTGACCAGTGGGACCGAGGCCGGAATCCAGTTTGGATCTAAGGAGACTTTCATTTTGTTTTGCTTTGATTTGTTTTGTTTTGAGACAGAGTGTCACTCTGTGGCCCAGGCTGGAGAGTCGTGGTGCAAACTCAGCTCACCACAACCTCCAGCTCCCGGGCTCAAGCGATGCTCATGCCTCAGCCCCCTGAGTAGCTGGGATTACTGGTGTGCACCACCACGCCTGGCTTTGTTCTTGTGGTTGTTGCTGTAATTTTAGTAGAGATGAGGTTTTGCCATGTTGGCCAGGCCGGTCTCAAACTCCTGATCTTAAGTGATTCTCCTGCCTCAGTCTCCCAAAGTGCTGGGATCACAGGTGTGAGCCACCGCACCCAGCGTAAAGAGCCCCTCACACCACTGTCTCTTGCCGTGTGACTGGGGGGCTCCATGCCTGGAGCTGGGATGATGATGTCCAGACCTGGGAGGAGACCAGGGCTACCCACTTCTAAAAGTCAGAGCGCAGGAAGCAAGAAACGGTCACAGGACTGCCCTGGAGGGTGTGGGGTCTCCTGTCCCCAAGGTGGAGCTGTCTGTGGCCTTGCACCTCCCCTCCCCAGAGGCCGGTGCCTGCCTCCCAGCCCTCCTGGATGGGGCAGGGGTTACCGTCTCCTGTTCGCCAAGCTTCTCCTGCAGCTCCTTTCCTTCCTGCTCCAAATAGAGTGCGCTCCTGTTCTCGTTCTTCTGGATAGAGAGAAGAAATCAGCGGCCACTCACTGCAGCTGGAGACCCCAAAACTTGGTGTCTGCCTCACATGGCACCAGGAAGGGTGGAGGCAGGTTAGACAAATTGTCTCCTTTCTCCCACAGCCATCAGAGCAATACTGTGCTCACAGGTGCCTTTAGAAGCCTCATTTCATACACTCCCCCATTTTACAGGTGGGAAAACAAAGCTCCGGAGGGCTGTGGAGGAGAGCAGGGTCCCCAGGTGGGCAACACACCAGCTCCTCCTACTGCTCCTGGAGCCCCTCCTGCTCAAGAAGCCTCTGCTCCTGTTCTCTCAGCCTCACCTCCTGCTCCCGGAGCCGCATTTTCGCCTCCTGCAGTCTCTGCTGTTCCCGCAGCTCATCTCTCAGGTACTTGATTTCAGTTTTTAGGATTTTCTCCAAGTCAGAGTGCGCTGCTGGGTGCTTTGGGATTGGGGGTTCAGCTGAGAAAGGAAGCAGACAATGAGGGCCTCTGGATTCTCAAAACAAAAAACTCTTCTGGGTGCACAGCTCCTCTCAGGCTCCCCAAACCTGGCCTCACTGCTAATGATTCCTTGCACTCAAATGGTAGCCAGTCTTCCAAGCCACTTTCACATACAGAGCACTGTGGGTGGCTGGCAACGGGCATTCCTCCCTCTGCTGATGGGGACACTGAGGCTTATGGAGATTACAAGACTTGCCATCTCCTGGCACAGACCTCTTTCCCTCTGCCTCAAAGCCCTTCCAGCCACCCACCTCCCTGGGGCACTCTGAGCCACCCCCACAGCCCTCTGATGCCAGTCCTGCTCCCGGGTCACGCCAGCCCCATCTTACCCAGATGGTTTTGTAGGTGGGCAAGGCTCCCCTTCAGCTCCTCGATTTTAATTGCATCCTGCCTTTTCTCCATTTTGAATATTTCAATCTGCCCAAAGCACAGGGGGAAAGGGCCCTGGAGAGAGGGGCTAGTGGCTGGACAGGCTACCATCTCCCTCTCCGCCCCCAGCTCCACAAAGCCCAGTCCCGTGACCACCCCTGGCTGGACTATTCTCTTTTTACAGATGCCCAGGAAGATCCAGTGAGCCATCTAAGGTGGGGGGCTGAAGGGTCAGCTCTCACTTCTCCTGCCATTTTCAGCAATTGCTGCTGCCACCGCGCCCTCTCTGTTTTGAGCTGTTGAGCGTATGCGTCTCTTTCTAGCTGAGCTTTCTTAAGACACTCCGTCACCTGCAAGAATGGACCAAGAAGTTAGGAAGTGCTGTCACTGGTCCTTACCTGCTCCTGGCCACCTGGGATCATCTTCCTTCCACATCCCTCCCTCTGCAAAGTCTCACCTCTGCCACCTGTGCTCTTAGCAGTTCCCGCTCCTGTAGAAACTGCTGTAACTGCTGCTCAAGGACTGCTCCACAGCGGCTCGAGGGCTGGAGGGTGGAGAGGGAGAAGCTTCAACCTGGAGAGCCTGGGCCATTCCACACAGTGCCCCTTAAAAGGGCTAGGGCTGGGCTTCATACACAACTCAGACAGTAAAGATCAAGGCATTTCCAATCCTGTAGTCTGGATTTTAAAAGAACTCAGTAAAGTTGGAAGGCACAGGGAAAGAGGTCACATTTACGGCTGGCTAACAGAGGCCCAGAGAGATCAGATCATATTCTATGTTATTCGTGTTATTACTACCGCTGTTGAAACCTTTATTGAGTGTGTCACCAGGTAGTGTGGTAACAATCCCATTTAACCTCACAGCCACCATGTGAAGCAGTTACTACCATTACCTCTATTGGGTAGATGGAAAACACGGAGCATTAGAGGTTAGGTGGTTGCCTAAGATCACTTAGACAGAGCTGGGTTTGAACAACCAGGCCCATCTGATCCTCTAAGCCCATTTTTTTTCCTGCTGGGGGTGGGAGCACAGGGAGGAAGAGAGAAATGAATCTTTTGTTCACTTTTTGAAAGGATGATACATTCTCATAGTCCAAAACTGAGAAGGTACAGAAGGGAAGGATCTCCCAGCCACCTGTGCTCTCTCCTGAGTTTTTTACAAATCCTTGCAGACATGTTTTATGTATATTATCACAGTACACACACACACACACACACACACACACACACAGACACACACACACACAGACAGACACGTTTCCTCTCTCTACACAAATGGTGACATACTAAAGCTACTCTTCTGTATCTTCAGAGTCCAAGTACCCAGTCCCCCACCTAGAACTTGGCCATGGCCACAGCCAAGTAAGGGCAGGGAGGGAATTTGGCCTCTGAGCTCTGCGTCCAGTGCTGGCTCCCCATAGCGCCCTTCAACTCACCCACAGCAGCCCCAAGGGGAAACTGGAGCCCAGGATTGGCAGCGTGGAATCAGGGGGCCCCACTGGACTCTTACCAATAAGTTGATGGTGTTATTCAGTTCACTGGTTGTGACGGAGCTCGAGTCCAGGGCTATTTGTAGTTGGTGTGCGCTCTGAGGCACCTGCAGAGAGAAGGAGTTGGGGGAGGATCGGGGGAGAGGTAGAGAGAACGATCATTAGGGTTGGGGTGAGTGGGGGCTGTCTCAGCTGGCAGAGGGGCACCCAACCACCACTGTGGGAGGAGGGTGGAGGGCTGGCCTGCAGGGTCACTGTACCTCAGCTCAGGGCCTCTTACCTCTGGATCTTTCATGGTGGCACATGGCGCAGGGCCCTCCTTGGGACCACCTGCTGCTGACTACAAGAGATGAGAGTGCACAT